TATATATTATTAATTAGGGATAAACAATACCAGTATCAGGAAGCCGGACGGTGAGCCATTACACGCTGCCCGACTTCCTGATTGGCCGGGAAGCCGACTCCATGCTCCCTCATCATCACCAAATTTAATGACTTTGCTGGTTTCCTGGCCAATCAGCAAGACAGGTGGAGTGTAAGTCGGGAAGCTGGCCAATCAAGAAGCCAGGTGGCGAGTAAATACCCGCCTCCCGGCTTCCTGATTGGCCAGAAAGCCGACTCCATGTTTCCTCCTCACTGGTGACATGTCTTCCTGGCTAAATCAGGAAGCCGTGTACATTGTCACGATAATGTAACTGATTTGCTTTCCTGCTGCTTTCCTTGTGCATTGGTAGGTAGGTGTGTGCAGATGAGTTTCTAACATATTGTGTAGCTGTTTTCTGTGTTTATCTTACTGACTGAAACTGTAGTTGTTCATTAAATAAGTTCTGCCAAAAAAAAACACAAATACTCATTACAGTTTGCTTTCTCTGTAAACATCCATCTAAAAAGTGTCCTAACATGGTGTTGGATACAAACGCTATTAGGAAGTCATCTGCTTCTTTGTAACACAAGCCAAATGTTGTGCTAAAAAGGTTTCCTTGCGTTTTCTTCCTTTTCTTTGTCATTTCTAAATGAACTTTGTCTATTTGTTGTGGTCAGAAAAGAGCAAGAATGGGTGGGGACAGGATGAACAACACTGGTTCACAGTTATTAGTGAACTCCAATAAGCTTCTGATTTTTCAAAGACTCACTATGAAATTTCTAGATGGAGCTCCCAGCTTTGCACTCCTCTGAGGAGTCTCACTGATGCTGCTTCATTCCGCATAATAGAAAGGAAAATTAAAAACCTGATTAAACTCCAGGGGTTAAAATATGTTGAATTCCGCTGTAGTCCTTAGGAGGACTAAGACACTGGCTTTACCCTGTTAGCAGGGACACAAAGTAGAAATGTCACTTTTAGGTGGACTGAAGGTCCATTTATACAACACAATGCATCTAATGCCAGGTGCGCTGCATTGCCACTCTGAATAGTACCTAGCCCCACCTTCCTGCTCTGCAATGCATGACTGCAGTAGCATAGGAGGTGCGTTGGGGTGCCTTTCAGAATGAATGGCTATGCAACGCGCTAGCACACCTAGCATGTGGTCCATTGCACTGTTCAATAACTTGTGCCAAACGTGCAGATGTTTTAAATCTTCTTTTAATTAAGTATGTGTCAAAAATGTAATGTCCTTAGTCTGCGCACAGGTGCACTTTAAAGGGCTGATTTATATCTCTTTTGACCAGGGTATACCTAGGTGAATGCCATTCACATGGCACTGCCACCACTAGATGGTGCTAAGAAGCATAGGAAATTCCTATGCTCCTCAGCGCCATCTAGAAGCAGCAGTACTGTGTGAACGGAATTGTTAAAAATTAGCCCCTGTGGTCACACTATCTGCATGGAATTTGCATGTTTCTCCTGTGCTTGCATAGGTTTCCTTCCGCACTCCAAAGACATGCTGGTAGGTTAATTAGCTCCTCTCTAAATCAGCCCTGTATGTGTGTGCTTGTATGTATGCATTTAAGATATGGACCTTAGATTGCAAGCTCCTTGCGGGCAGGGACTGATGAGATAGGGACCTTAGATTGTAAGCTCCTTGTGGGCAGGTATTGATGAGACAGGGACCTTAGATGGTAAGCTCCTTGCGGAAGGTACTGGTGAGCTAGGGGCCTTAGCGTGTAAGCTCATTGGGGGCAGGAACTAATTAAATAGGGGACTTAGATTGTAAGTTACCTGTGGGCAGGGGCTGATATGAATGTGCAGTATGTAAAGCACTGTGTAAATTGTCAGCACTATATAAATACCTGTATAAAATAAATACGCGTAAGTAAACAGATGAAACATTAGAAGACATTTCCACCACACCTCTTCAGCTTCATTTGAAGCACCCCCTGATTCCATTTTCCCAGTGATTTACTGCATGCATAATCCAACAGAAAGAAGTCAGAAAGTTTTCAGTAATTATAAGCAGCAGAAAGTTATGACACTAGATTTTTGTTTCAACAGACGATTATGAGTTGTTTTCATACAAAACGTAGCCTAGGAGACAGATTTGTTGCTAAGAAACTAGTAATAAATATACAACAGCAGTCAGTATAAGTGGTCAACAATAGTGAAGGTTTAACATTTCCTATAGATACATACATATATATATATAAAGACATGTAGCTGCAAAGCAGTATACACATAGTCTTACATGTGTAATCTGTTGCCTTTCCTGAAATTACTCCATTTTCCACCCATTTTATTAATCATGTGCAAGAGGAAATCAAATAGAATCTTCATTGTATACTTCACATATGAATCAATGAATTCAGCAATGTTGATTTATCTATTTGCACATCAGTAGCCTTTTTTCATTGATGTGCTCTGCCAAGATGTTGACTAGACCAGTGTTTTTCAACTTTTTTTCAGTCAAGGAACCCTTTAAAACTATGCAAAATCTCGAGGCACCCCAGTCTAAAATGTAAAAACTGATGTGTGGCCCTTTCAGTATCCATACCAGACCCTTATCACAGATAGAGGACAGGTATGGATTTTAAGGGAGGGGAACCCATGCAAACAACACACACCAGAGTCCCCCCCCTTCAAATCAGGATCCCCTCTCCACATTAGAGTTCCCTGTAATTCCCTTTTACATTAGGAGCCCTCTCCTTTCACATCAGAGTTTCCCCTCCCCATTAGAGCCCACTACATTCACATCAGAAGCCTGTCTGCACCATGGAGAGGCATGATGCTGGGGCACCCCTGAGAAAGTCAGAAGGCACCCAGGGTGCTTAATGGCACACTTATTGAGAAAGGCTGGACTAGACTACACTGGTCTATTGACTAGACTAGAAGGAATCTATTCCCAGAATTCTCTTTTGGCTTTCTACTACTCACTTCCTGCTTCTGGTCATGTGATCAAAACATCACATGACCAGACGCTGGAAGTGGGGAATAGATTTTCCTACTCTCCTTTTCTGGCACCATGCTTGTCATAGGTCCAATACTGGCATTGGGTGATGGAGCAGGTGTTCCAACACCCAGTGCCGGTACATAGTGTCAAAGCTGGCACAGACATGTACATGCCTTCAGATCTGCAAGGTATGTTTAAAAACCACTACTGTACTTGCTAAAAGTGTGCAGTTGGAGGGTAGGCTAACATTTACCACTATGGAATAGGGACTTGGTAGATATTGCTCAGAAGATGCAGTATTTTTTAATGAATGCACCACACTGAAATGCATAAATCCTAAAGCAGACTTTCTCACAAAAACATTATTTCCTCTCATATGCTATATCCCTCCTCTCTGTTACATAATCTTTTTTTTTTGTAGATACCTTTTTTGTAGGTGCTCACTTTCACTTCCTCTTTCCTCAACAAAGTGAGGAATACATAGCCTGTACATGCATAGAACAGAGACTACGAGTGCCTACTTACTCTATATTGATCCACTTATTATTTGTATTGTACTCAATTGGGAACCGTGCTTATTATTTGTCATTAATCACATTTGCTTTTCCTTTCCTTTGCAGGAGAGTTACTCACCCAGCCACGACCAGAAGGGATAAACGAAATCGTATGTCCCAAGAACGGCACTGAGAGAGTGAATGTAGCTCTGGTTTTCCCCCCTACACCAACAGTGCTCAGCCCTTGCTCCAAGTGATCCCCCAGTATCCCACTTCTTCACAGTATTTGGAAAGAAGAATCAAAGAGTCAAAAATTAAAACTGAGACAATCGCAGAGTACCCAAACATTTTTCAAGAACTGTGACCATGTGGCATATTAAACACAACAAAGGCACAATTCTAATTAACTGGGAGGCACTGTGTCATTTCAGAGCTTTAAGGTATGTGTATAACACACAAACAATGATTATGAATCATTTAAAGGAGATGTATCGTCATTTTGTCCACATTTTATTTATTAGGATTAGGACTAAAACTTATATTTTAAGAATTATTGTTTTTTTGAGCCAGATAAATCTGAAATATTAAATAGTAATATTTTGTATTTTACTTTTGGGGCACTAGCTGGATCTTTGGACTACTTTTGAGGTTTTCCAATTTATCCTTATCTCCTGCTGAAAAAGCCTACTGTTTGCAACAACTCAATAGCTTAAACGGTGTGTGAAATTTACATGCACAGAGCAGGGGCTTATCACTTACTAAATGGATGCATCTAAGGTTCTAATGAGAGTCAGTGCATGAAAGGAGATGATTACTGCTGCAGTGTCTTTTTAGCTTACTTATACTGCTCTGGCAATCCTTAGTCATGAATGAATTGTTTACCTGAATAACAAAAACTGTATTATGATGTAAAACATAAAATGTATTTAAATAGATTACATTTGAACAAAAACATTAATGTTTTTCTTTAAAGGTAAATTATAATGCTTTTATAATTTACCTTTGGGTCAATTATGTTTATTTTTTTGAGCTCATAATATTTTTAAACTTTTTGTTTATTATGTATACAAAGTCTTTGTTTTACAAGTAAACATTTAATACAGGGTGCACCCACACGTCACAGCGCATTATAGGTTTTTAAGGAAAGAGCAGAGCTGAGCAGAGCAGAAGCTGTTTGCCTTTAAACTGTCCCTCCCCCTCTTCCCCCCACCCTTCCTTCTTTCCTTCTTTTTCCCCTTTGCTTTTATCTCTCTTTCTCCCTTCTTTGTCTACTCTTGGTCTCCCTTTTCCTTCCTCCCTCTCTACCTCCTCTCTATATGATAATCCTACGAACCTGTATGAACAGTGGAAAGAGACGGAAGGGTAGATGAGTCCCTCTTGTGACTCTTTCAGCTGTGTGTGTGTAAATTGCAGCTTGGTCTGCGAACTTGTGTAAACAGGCTTTTTTTGCTTAGAACCTTAGCCTGGACAACCTGTCAAAAAATAGCCCATCACTTCATCTGCTTGCCTGAAGTAAAAATACAAAATATATATTTAGTACTAACCTCTATATTCTTTATTTTGTAGTCATTGCTATAACAAAGAAAATATATGAAAACCATTATGCATTCTATTTTTTCTGTTTTTGGTTGCAAAAGTGTGAAGCACCAGTATGCCTCAGGCAGTTACTATGGCTCCAGAGGTGTCAGAAGTTTCAAAAGTGACCAATGTGCATGGTACCCTACCATAGGGTCTATAGATCACCAATGATCAGCTAATGGGACTCCATTTTAGCAGCTTTGTGCTCTTTGGTCAGAGAGCTCACTAGCTTCTGCTTTTAGACCTCCTTCACACTCATTTTGTCAGTATTCCACTCAGCCAGCAAAACTAGTTCTTAAAGCTCCAGATTGTCAGGTGTGCTGTTTATTGGAGGATTTAGAGGCCCACTGCTCTTCATGAGAACAGGAATCTTATAAAAGTTGTTCTGCCACCCAACACACACAGCAACACATTAAACATGACTTGACACAACATGCCACAACACAGCTCTGAAATACATTTAGTCTTTGGTAAAAGAAAATAATTCACTTTATTACTTGTATTTGCATAAGTTGACATGAACATATTCTAATATTTATGACACTGGGAATGTAGTGAATTTACAGGCCAATATGTAAATCTGATTAGCCCAATCCTGTGATCTGTGTGGGCCTGCACTGTTCACTTACTTCTCCAAATCTTCCTGCTGGCCAATGGGCTATGTCAAAAGATTGCCTGTAGGTCTCATTATGCAAAGTCTTCCAAAGCAAGTAGACAGCAGGATATATGCGCACTTGGAGGTGGAAGTTATACAGTATATGCAAGAAGCAGATATATAATTTATAAATATATAAATTATATATAATGCAAGATCTTAGAGCCACGGCTCTTCGTTGGAATATACTAGATGTCTGGCTGTCATGCTGAACCAATGGCTTCAATGTTTGGAATCAATTATATAGAACAAGTACCCAAATCAGGACTTACTTTTTCCAGGCCAGTGATTCAAATTATTGAAGCCAGTGAATTAGCATCACAGTTAGCATTTTCAAAATTAGGGAGGTAATGGCAGCCACCTTTTTTTCTAAGATCTTTAAATGAAAATCTACTTTGCTGGGGAAGTAGCTGCTACCATTAGTTTGCTGAGAGGTGCTTGGTTTTCCGTTCTTATTTTAACTGAAGTTTTTTTCTTTTCTATAGGACACATGTACTTGTTGAAGAATATATCACATGGAGAAAATGGGTGCATTGCATCCACAGACAAGTAAACCGTGACTTTTACACACCTTTTTTTATAATGACTGAGATGCACATTTTTATGGACAATAAAGTGTGTTGTTGGAATGGGATCATATGTGAATTCCACTGTAAAGTAATGTTGCACCTGTTATGTATCACAAAAAGGATTGTGGGAATTAAATGACTACGTTGTTGATTTCTCAGGGATTTTGCTTGCCATGAAAATACAAGCCATACAGTGTAAAATGGTTGTATTGTGACAAATATACCATTTAAATGTAAAAGAAAATCAGATACACTACACTAAAGTTCATTGCTCTATAAGATCAGCAAAATTATACTTATGTTTTGTTTTTAGAACTTTCAGAACAAAAAAGCACATTAAATGTTATGCATCTCACAGTATTTAGTCCGCATGCATCTGATGTTTTCCCTCACTGTAAAACACAACCTCTTTTAAAGGAAATTTCTACTGAGACGAATACAGAGGCTATTGATAAAATGGAATTATAGGCAAAATTAAAAATGACATGTACGCTGCAGTCTGTCACTAGCATTAATATAGCAGTTTATGCTTTTTTCTGAATCCCCCGTAACGTAGTTGTATTACCTGTCTGTAGATAAGTTATTTTTTCACTTCCTGTAAAGGGTAACAATCAGAGCTGATGTTTGTGGGAGGCAAATTGAGCAATTGCCCAAGGCCCCCATGTCTCTGGGGGCCCCCTATGATCTACCAAAAACCATGCCTATAACAAAGCAACTCACAAGGGGATCAGAGCTGTGACAGCAGCCTCTGGGAGACCTGAGCTACGGAAGATAAAGATGCAAGGCACCTTAGCTGGCAGTCACAGCTCCAAACCCCAGTCTGTGACGGTTTTCTTTGCTTGTAGATTCTGATGCAGAAAGCCCTGTGCAAAATTAAGTGGGGCGAACAGGCTAGGGGGCAGGGTGGCGTTTGCTTCCCCGGCCATTGCCTCTGCAGTTAAATGGAACTGCCTGTCCCCATCCAGACTTCTGTTAATGCAGGGTCCTTTGTGGATGTGACAGAACTAACCTGCTAGCCACTGCCACTGGTAAGCACAGATCTGGCAGAGGAGGTCTTACTTTATCTGGTTCCTCTGTGGGTTTGACAGATGACATGAGCTAATGCAAAGCATGGTAGAGGAAGCAAATACGGTAGTGAAAAACTTTGTATGCCAGCTCTGCGTTTATAAGGGACAGCAGTGAGTAAGTGAGCTGTTACAGCATGTGCCAGTCCAGTGCTGGCTTGGAAGCGGTCAGTCACTTTCTACAAGGCTACCTCATCTATATGCCTACAAAGCCAGCACACAGACCATGCTTATTTTGGAAAAAGGAAATTCAAATGTTAAAAAGGAGATTAAAATATCTTAGCATATTTTAAAATTATGTTTTTTACATTCTATATTCCACACCACCTCATTCTGTATGCTGTGCTGTACATTCCCTATTTCCCGAAGTCTCATTCTGTACACTGTGCTGTACATTCTCTATTTCACACCCCCTCATTCCGTATACTGTGCTGTACATTCTCTAATCAACACCCTTTATTCTTTGCGCTGTGCTGTAAGTTCCTCCTTCCATACCACCTCGTTCTGTATGCAGTGTTGTTTGTTCCCCATTCCACACCACCACATTCTGTATTCTGTGCTGTTTGTAGCCCATTCCACTCTGCCATATTATGTAAGCCATGCTGTACGTTCCCTATTTCTGCATGCTGTGCTTCACATTCCATATTCCAATCCACACCACCTCATACTGTATGATATGCTGCACATTTTATATTCCACACTGTCTCATTCTATTCACTGTGCTTTACAGTCCCTGTTCCATACAGTCTCACTTATTGTATAGTGCATTTTGTATTCCACAGCAATTGGAGTAATTGGTGCTGTATTAGTTGCTTTGGCATGTTTGCACATTGGCAAGGCTCGCGGATAGGATGTGCCTTCTGTAAAAGGGCCAGTCAATTGTGTTTACCCCACGGCTAAAATTCCCAGTCTTTCCTGAACTTGTCCTTATCTTTATGTTTAATTAAACAGATGTTCCGGATATATTCAAAGTTGTGAAAAAAATGCTGCTTTCATTTTCTTATGCCATTGTTATCAGTATAGGGGGCCCCAAATATATATATTTACCCAGTGCCCTGTTTTATTTAAAACAGGCCCTGGTGACATTGCTGTTCATTCTGCAGTAAAATCGCACAGCAGGTTTAATTCATATAAATAAAAACTGACCATTGTTAGCACCCCTGCCAATGTTGTATGTTTTTTTTTTCCAACTATAACACTGTTGCTGGATAGCCTGGCTTGTTGAAGGAGGTGGAAAAATAACAGATCTACTGGTAGGATCAGAAGGTAATACAACCATTATGGCAGGGACTCAGAAAAACAAAATCCACTGTGTAATTTATAGAATGAATCATCAACTTCAATGACCTGAATGTGCCCGCATAATTATATGAGTATTTATTTAGTCGGAATAGCTATTTTAAAGTAATTCATTTTTTTTACGAACTTACCTGCTCCTGAAAATTTCAGCTTCATCATGGCATCAATGATTTACTTTAACTAATTGCTGATATAAGCAAATTACATTTTCAATTAGTAAAGGAAAAACAAATACAATTCTGGTAAATATTCCTTAGCAATTTCAATTTTAAAAGCAATGTAAATGACAAAAGGCATATTAGTAGAGCCCATACATCTGCAAATCAGGTCACCCAAAATTTCTCTTTGTCAGAGGGTAGTGCCTGGCCGGTCCCAGATGGTCTAGGGCAGTGGTCAGCAACTTTAAACACTCAAAGAGCCATTTGGACACAGAAAAGAATACACCGGGAGCCACAAAAACCTTTTGACATCTAAAATGAAGATAACACTGCCTATATCGTTTTTTACTGGGCGGGATTACATTGAAATGTGTGACCACGTCACCGGTCACACATTCCAACCTCGTCACAAACTTTAATAGAACAACGGCCCTGTCTAATCATTTAATCAGAGAAATAGATTGTCAGAGAGCTAGTATTGTGATTTGAATGAGAGGTAATACCTGTAATTGTTACACTTACACCTTGAAAAGAAACTGATATTTTGCCCATTCAGACTGCCCTACCCTACAGGCCGGTAAACTTACCATACCATGCTCCCACACCGCCTCTACCGCCTCTCTACACTGCTGTAGCCCTCACTAAGGTTGCAGGGCTACCTGGTATGATGGACCACGTGAACTCCTCATTTGACAGTGCTCAGGCTTGAGCAGCCAATTACCAGACATGATCACTGTCACTTTGAGTGAGAGTTACTTAAAACTTCATCCCTGGTCCAAGCTCCAACACTGGTGCTTGGACTACATACACACTAGCCTCCTGTGTTTGGTTTATTTAAAAGCGGGAGAATCTGGGAAGTATAAATACATTTTATGCTCCCCAGATCTAATTCTCCTGCATTTAAATGTACTTGCATCTATGCATGTTTGTGTGCATTTACATGGGTTACCATCAGGGCGTAACTAGAAATCACAGGGCCCCAAAACAAAATTTTGTATGGGGCCCTGTGACTTCTAGTTATGCCCCCTGCAGAGCCCACTTGAGATCCCACGCAGCCCACCTGAGGGTGACCATGTAGAGCCCACATAAGACTCTCTATGGTGGGCTCTGCAGGGTCATCCTCAGGTGGGCTGGTCACACTCCTTACCTGTCCGCATCCTCTTCCTGCATGATGGCTGATGGGCCCTGCCTCCTTTGCCGGGTCCCCTCCTCCGTCACCGGGCCCCATCTCCTCCTCTGCTGCTGACCACAGGCCATGCCTCCTCTTCCACTGGCGGGTCTAGCCTGCTCCACTGCCGCTGCTTGCTCTCATTAACTCTGCAGTGGCTGTGAGAAGAACGCGCTGCTGCACAGATCACTGTCAGTGATCTAAACAGCAGCACATTCTTCTCACAGCCGCCAGTGAAAGCCACCAGCATAAGATGCCATAGCGACCCAGGCGGCCCGCATGGCATCTGGCCGGGCCCCCACGGGCCGCTAGGGTCGCTATGGCGATTGTTACGCCACTGGTTACCATGCATTTAGACACATCGAGAGTATTTAATGTGCCCAGGTGCACAGAATTCCATGTTCCCTAAACACAGCCATATTGAACACACCTATATTATATTCATACCAATAAATATATATATATATACACACACATACATACATACATACATACACACAATATACATACTATATTAAAATCATTATTTGCACTTATATGCATTTAGAAATGTCCTATAAACACATATAATCACAGGTTTGTCAATGCCAGTGTAAATGAGGCCTTTCGACGGGCTGGAATGATGCAGCAGAGAAGGGTACTGCTATCTGCAGACTCTGTCGCTTTGCCCTGATTGGACATAGTGACAGTGTCTTTTTAATGTCATAGTCTTTCTTTTACATTCTGCAAGGCTAGTCCCATCACTGAAGATTTTATTCTATGAAGTAAATGTCTGCATAATTAAGATGTAAGTGGTATTGTGGCCACACCTATTGATATGAAGTCATCTATTACTTTAGTACATAACCTATAAAAGGATGTTATTATACATGTGTATTACAGAGAACCATTTGAATCTTTTTGTACATGTACCATTACCACTGGGTTAATTGGTGATATATGATGTGAATAAGTCATCCAGATCTTTTAATGAACTACTCTACAATTGGATAAGGAAAACAAAGGTTCCTTAGAGGTGACACCTCCATTATAGGTGATTTCCGTTTTCAGAAATGAGCTCAGTTTGATTTATTAGAAATGCTACTTCCATTATAATGTTATTGATCTTAGCACGCCCTCTAGTGCTGAAATACTTTATTGCACATTCAATTAAAAACCGTGTCTTTGCAGTGAGGTGAACAGATGCTTACAGCAGATAAACCATGCTCACCAAAAGCTATATGGATGATTGCTCTTTAAAGCCAAGCCTGCCATATCATTACCAGCAACACAGTTTACAGGCGGGTGACACTACGTCAATCCAATGCAATAGGCAATGCATTTTAAAAAATTACTCTATGATTTAAACTAATGTTCAGCTTGTTACAACAAAAGGGCTTAATTGACAACTGTAAGGTCTCACTTCAAATGGAGAAATTATACTGAGCCAGTTCACATATCAAAATCCAGCAGTCCTTTGGGATGCCTGTTCTGATCTTTCATGGACCCTTTCGCTGCCTTAAGAGACTCTCTACCTGTCACTTACTGCATTCTGTCTGTGCTTCTGTTACACAATACAGAAAATTAGTGTCCTTTGGAAACAGGTATCCAATACATTTGTCGATATTACTCTAACAGTGACACATCCTCATGATAGAGACTGGATATTAATGACTTTTTTATATGCTTCCCGGTGTTCTTTTTTCTCTTTGAATTTTCTGGAATTCATTTTTTTTAGTTCTCTTGGGCCACATGCCAAAAAAGTATTGCTTACGATAACTACTTTATACCC